GAATACAACAAATACAGTGATCCCAGGTTCATCAAAGAATTGAATAGTAAATATACTTTTTGGTTAACAGGAAACACATTGCTCCCTAGAGGATTGACTATCATTATCTGGCTTTAAAATGATTCATTTAATCGACAAAGATCAATATGCACTAATGAAAGATCATGGGGTTTGTCTGTTAAATATGAACAAAAACTATGGTTAAAGTTGAGTTGCTCCTTTTTTAATCTTCCTGAAGATATATACTTGTGTTTTGTTTATGATCCCCCTGAAAATTCATCTTACACTCATTCTTTAAATAATGCTATATTAGAACTAATCGGAAAAAAGATATTACAAAATTTTCAGCCGTGGGGAAAATTGTGTTTAAATATAGCAGTAGATCTGAACGCCAGAACCGGTTCAGAAGAATCTGATTTTATCGATAATGATTCCAAAGAAAATCTTCTGCTCATATATGAAAATTAATGATATAAAAGTCCGTTGTAGCAAAGACATATATCTACTCGTGGAAAATTATTAAATGATATTGTGAGATGACAGGTCTCCTATAGTCCTTAATGGCAGAACTAGAGGATACTTTATAGGTCAATTAACCGGTCATAATCCTTGTGGGAGCAGTTTAGTTGACTTTTTTTACAGTTTCATTGTAATTAATGAACAAAGTTGTCTTCTTCAATATATGCATAACTTTTTAGCTGATCTTTCTGATAAAAGTCAGGTCTCTGTAATGTTAAATATTGATATGAAAATTCCTGTTTTAGATGCTTTGATGCTAGATACATGTATGTTTGGAATGAGGAATCAGCATTAACATTTCAAACAGTTTAGGCTTCAATTGGAATGCAAGAGAAAATATTCAACTTTTCGTCAATTCAAACTCTGATTCCCAAAATATGATGTCAAAACTAAACGTGAGGCAGAAGATAAATTAGTCAAAAAAATATGCTCTAGATTTATCTCCTCCAATATAAATACTAAACATAAAAAGAAACAACCCAAATGTTTTGATTTCTCTTTACTTAAAATAGACGAAGGATACCAAAGGGACATTCATACTCATAAGTCGAAAAATAAAACAGACAACGCCATGGCTAAAAAAGACAAACATTTGGTTGAGGCAAACTAAAGAAAGAGAACGGAAATAAAAAATATGGTGGGGGCATAAAAATACTACAATGACCCTATTGTGAGAGGAAATTTCTTGAGCTTTTCAAAATCCTACAGAAAAACAAGGAAAAAGAAAAATAAAGAGTTCCAAAAAGAACTTGTTCAACAATTGGACAATATGAGAGAAGATAACCCATACCAATATTGGGCCTTATTACTTCTACAGTCTCTTAGTAATGAATTCTCCACAAAAGGAGATACTTCTTATATATCGGACTCAGAATGGTTACAATAGTTTTGAAAGCTTAATTAAAGCTCCTTAACTATAAATAAAGAATTAATTGATTCACCGAATAACTTTGAAAAAGATCAAAATTTCAACTCGATAATAATGAATTGCTCAAATGCAGCAAACTATATTTACTCAAATGTTTCGTAAAGCTGTTTACCAAAGAGTTGACAACAGGAAAATTTCCTGAAGTAGGGGTCAAAGGATTTATTGTTCTAATTCTTATAAGTGGTCCTAAAGATGATCCCTCCAATTTTAGAGCCATCAGAATAGGTAGTTGTATTGGAAACTCTTCATAATAGATTACAAAGGTTTATCACTAAAAGAAATATAGTTGGTCCTGACAGGCGATCACATATTGGTACTTACACCTAGATTGATAAATACAAATCAGGGGCAAAAACATCTCTATACCTGTGTTTTGTTGGCAATTTAAGAAAGCCTTTGACAAGGTTTTGCATCTAGCATTATTTTTCAAGTTGAGGTGATTCATTTTATGATGTTATTAAAGATATGTAAAAAAATAACTCTTTGTTAGTCAAAACTTCTTATAACACATAGTCATTTACTGAAAATTTTCCCTCCGATAATATTCGTGTCTGTCAACGGTATAAATTAAGTCCTACTTTGTTTTAACTTTTTATAAATGATTTACCAGGTATCTTTGATTCTAAATGTTGCCCAGTTTTGTTAAATAACAGTACTCTTAACTGTTTATAAATTAATGTACAAATGTATGCAGATGACCACATTATGATTTCTCAAACCTCATCTGGTCTAAAAATTGTTTGAAACTTTTAAGTTGATTATTGCAATAAGTTGGGATAAGAAATTATAATGAAAAAGTCAGTGTTTATTTTGTAATTACACAGGAAGAATATCCAAAGAAAAAATTACATTCAATGGCCAATTTACAAATAACAGCGGTCGCTGATATATTATATAGAGACTTATAAATTATATCAGTGACCGCTGTGGATAGTAAACTTGGAATTAATAGTAAATAGCAAATACAAGTTATTTCTAGCATATATTCATGTTCGCATAATACAGAATAAAATGCTCCACTGGGCGCAGCTTGATACGACCGCAGAGGTCGAACCCTGAACAGTTGGGGTAAGTATGGACACAACATTCAAGCTTGATACTGCTCTGAATTTGGATTGTGATTAAATATTTGACACAGCATAGGTTTCTGACACAGAATGAATGTGGTCTAAGAACTTAAAAAAATTTAATTTACCTATTATGGTCCAATATCCAAAATCTAAATACATGGTTAGATTCAGCATATCAAAGAATCCAAAGAATTAAATTTTCGATGAAATCAAACAAAGTTTAATTTTGGACCCTTTTGACCTCAATGTGGACCAATTTGATAACGGGGCCCAAAAATCAGAATACATGGTTAGATTCAGATTATCAAAGAACCCCATATATTCAATTATTGTTGAAATCAAACAAAGTTTAATTTTGGACCCAAACTTGGACCAACTTGAAAACTGGGCCCATAATCAAAAATCTAAACAAATGTTTAGATTCAGCATATCAAAGAACCCCAAGAATTCAATTTTTGTCAAAATCAAACTAAGTTTAATTTTGGACCCTTTGGACCTTAGTGTAGACCAATTTAAAAAACGGGACCCAAAATTAAAAATCTAAATACATGGTTACATTTGGCATATCAAAGAACCCCAATAATTCAATTTTTGATGAAATCTAACAAAGTTTAATTTTGAACCCTTTTGACCTCAATATGAACCAATTTGATAGCGGGGCCCACAAATAAAAAATCTAAATACATGGTTAGATTCAGCATATCAAAGAACCCCATATATTCAATTTTTGTTGAAATCAAACAAAGTTTAATTTTGGACCCCAATTTGGACCAACTTGAAAACTGGGCCCAAAATCAAAAATCTAAATACATGTTTAGATTCAGCATATCAAAGAACCCCATATATTCAATTTTTGTTACAATCAAACTAAGTTTAATTTTGGACCCTTTGGACCTTAATGTAGACCAATTTGAAAACTGGACCCAAAATTAAAAATCTAAATACACGGTCAGATTCAGCATAACAAATAAATAAATGTGGTGAAAGATTTTACAAATCTAATGTGCCATACTGTGCTTTTTACAACCCCCCCCACCTTTTTCCCCAAAAAAATTCTTTCCCTCAAGATATGGTCATAATCTCAATTCAAATTTCCAATGGAGTTTGCAAACATAATTACCCATTTAAATTTACCATAGTGCTAACTTAATCTATAATAGAATTTAAAATATGGTGTCAAATCTTTCATATGGATTTTTTTGTAAAAAAAAGAAGATGCAACATTTGCAGATATTTTTACTGGTCTTCCTTTATAAATATGCATTTCTTTAAACATAATTTAAAAGCATATAGGGAAGTAATCAAATTGTTGTATTTGGATTATCTCCCTTACACTGTTTTAAATTGTCTTAATTGTTCATTAACCATTACTTTATACATAATTAAATTTAAAAGCAGTGTAAGGGAGGTAATTCAAATGATGTATTTGATTTATCTTCCTTACACTGCTTTAAATTATGTTTTGTACTAAAGTATTTGTCCATTAACCAGGACAACCTTGTTTTTCCCCCTTTTTTGCCCCTAATTCCTAAACGGTTTGAGCCATAACCCCCCAAAGCAAATCCTAACTATCCCTTTGTGGTAAGGAAACTTGTGGTATAATTTCAGAGAGATCCATACACCGTTCCACAAGTTATTGTCTGGAAACTAGAAAATGCTTATTTTTGGCTCCTAATTCCTTAACTGTTGGTACCATAACCACCAAAATCAATCCCAACCTTCTTTTTGTGGTATTTAACCTTATGGTAAAATTTCATAGAGATCCATTCACTTAAACTAAAGTTATAGTGCGAAAACCAATGTGTCTTCGGACGACGAAGACGACGACGATGACGCCAACATCATACCAATATACGACCGCAAAAATTTTGAGGTCGTATAAAAACGTGAAAAAATAATCGAAATCAATAGAAAACAAAAAAATAACATATTTTGGAAAAAAGGGGGGTGATTGTCCTGTCCCCAAGTACCTATGATCACCTAAGCCCCAGTATACTTGGTTATAATTTATCATATTAAAAGAGACTATAAATATAATGAATGATAAACCTGATATGATGCAAGGAAATAAATTAAGAATTTACAGACTTTTAACAGAGACATATAATACAATTGTATTAATCATAGATGTATAAACCTGGGTTTATACATCTATGTATTAATTTATCTTGTCTGTTTTTAAGGATAGGCTTTGAAAATTATTTACTTTTTCTAGAAAATTGTACTGTATGACACTTTAAATGTCATAATTATTTCGAATTAGTGTTCATGACAGGGAAAACACAAAAGTATACTTTCAGACCAAAGATTTGGTATACTATGTACAAATGTATTAATGAAGGTTGTAAGTCTTACGAATGCCTGGCATTTTCATGACAGTGACTCAGTTGTTGCAGCCTGTAAGGTGCCTCATGACTGATATTTGTAACATAAAATTTGATTGAGTGAAAAATAGTCAATTGACCAATCAAATTGAACGTCACATTAAGTTTTTTATGATAATATGAATACAGAGCCTGGTAAGAATCAAGCTAAATTTTTACAATATTTACCATGTTTACTATGATATCTTCGGGTCTGAGATGGCATTAGCTTGACTGTCATTTTATTTTCTGTTTATGCTTCTTTTGACATATTTAATTGACGCGCATTTATTATGAAAAATCATGAAATGAATAATCTTAAAAATATTCCTTTGCGTTACTTCCCTTTGACCTGTCTATAATTTGATTAAATCTGAATTAGTTAGATATTTCTATCCTCAACCACTCAGCGGTCGGGCCATATAGTGACCCTGGATAGACTGTATGGTTGTCACTCAATCGACAATGCCTTCTTTAATGCAACATTCAACAACGTTTGTAATGCCAGCAGATCGTCTTCTCAATCCTTTTCAAGTTAAAATGACACATAATCTGATAATGACATACATGTACATTGTATGAAATAAAGTTATCTCGTACCATTGTAAACTCGTACCAATGTCAACTCGTACCACTGAAAAAAAACTTGTACCAATGCAAACTCGTACCACTGCTAACTCGTACCACGGTAAATTCATACCATTGTAAACTCGTCCCATCTTATTTAAATGCATTCAAATGGTGTTTAATGATGAATATATACTTTAATTTCACTCAATACCTCTTAAGTCTGTAAAATGTTTATAATTTGAAATTACAATGACCAAGTTTACAATGGTACAAGATAACTATTAATCGAGAAAACCGTGGCAGATTGGCTTTGTTGTCTCCCTTGAATAGACTCTTTTTTAAACTTTTACTGACAACTATTTGATTTAATTTTTAATCATTCCAAATCAGTTACATTGAATAGATTTATGTATTTTGGTAGTGTTGGCAGAATAACAAAGAATATGTTTCATTTTGATGCTTTATTTACCACAATTTCAAGAACATTCATGTATAAAAAATTGGGCTTTGAGACAACTCATGTCAGCTTGTGTTTTGATAATCAGGAATTTCATTTAATGATAAACATTATACATTTAATTCCAAGCTGTTAAATTATATAACAACAATCAAAATTTAATAACATGATTAAACAAGTTGATTAGTTTATTATCAACCAATAATCACACAATCAAAGGAATTTAATATATTAATTAGCATGGTGATTAAGAAATTACATTCGTATTTTTGTCTAAGTTTTCATTAAAATCTGGTATAAATTCAAAGATATTTTAATTTTTTATATAAAGCTTAAAAAAATAATCATAAAACATTCATATTTTTGTCTAAGTTTTCATTAAAATCTAGTATAAACTCCCAAGTAATTCAATTTTTTTTATTAAGTTTACCCAAAAAAAAATCTTAAAACATTCGTATTTTTGAATATATTTTTAATGGTACGAGTTTGCAGTGGTATGAATTCTGATTGGTACAACTTCCCAGTGGTACGAGTTTACGTTGGTATGAGTATAAACTTTTTCGGTACGAGTTTACGTAGTACGAGTTTACAATGGTACGAGTTAACTTGCTTCCCATTGTATGAATTGCCAATGTGTACAGGGCTCGACAATAACGCTTGTCCGATTGTCAGGTACCAGAGGAAAAAAAGGTCGGACAAGTAAAAGCTATATCAAGCTTGTCCGATGGGACAAGTTAAATTATTAAGCAGAAAATAAATTTAATCCAACTTTGATGAACAAAGTAATTATAAACAAAAAACAAGAAAAGAAGATAAACACAAGTATTAATTTGACATGTTTACTTGCAATCGATAATTTAAAACTTGTTCTTTGTCAGGTACTTTTTAACAGGTAAAAGGCATACTATTCTCGGAAACCAGTCTTACTGATCCAAATCAGCGTCGTGCTTTGTAGATAAGGAAGGTAACTTTACAAGACAGTTCGTCACCAGCTCGGAAACGATTCGGCTCCAATTTTAATAGACAGTTTGGCACCGTAGGAGACATATTTAATAAACATGATTAATAGACAGTCTGGCAACGCAGGAGACAGGAGACATTTCGGGACCAAGACAAATCAGTACCTCGTTTTCCTACCTTATTCTGTTGCTTTATAATAAATACCATACCGTATTTTTTTTTAACAAAAATATTTTTTAAATAAAAATGAAGAAATTATTTACCATAAAATTCCCAAATCATATTTGATCATATATAGAAGAAAAAACAATACTTGCAATACAGTGACCTATATTTATTAATTTCTGTGTCATTTGGTCTCTTGCAGAGAGTACTCTCATTGGCAATCATTCCTCATCTTATTTTTTTTTTATTGATTGAATTTGAAAAAACTTTTTTCAAATTAATAAACGAGGATACAAATCCAATGAGTGGAAATTGACAGTCCTATCAGACGGTGCCTCATGTGTAGAGTCTGATGAGACTTTGGCATTGATGAAAACTAGAACTTAAGTCCTGTGACATGACTAGATTCAGTTGTTCTGACTCATATTTTTAAAAGGTATTTCAAAAGATATAAATCAAAGTCTGTTCTATTGTTTTAATTCATTTTGTTCCTTGAATCAACTTAAAATGCAAAAAAGGTTATTATTAAGATTTTTGTTGGACAAGTTACAATTTCATTCGGACAAGTAAGTTTTGGTATGTACTTGTCCTACTGGACAAGTTGGAAAAAAAGTTATTGTAGAGGCCTGGTGTAAAGTGTCTAAATTGAGTTTGTCTTTGGGCTATATCAGTGACAGTTGATGAGGAGATGTCTTTTGATAACTTGCAGATTTTTCCAAAATAAGGTGGTCCAAAATATTGCCAGTATTGACCTTCTTACTTGACTTTTTTCTTTAAGTCTTCCCTATACTTAACTTTAGGGTCGGACTTCATTTATGGTTATGATAAGGTAGAGTGATGTTCCAGGTTAGGGTAAAGGATAGTTTAGTATAGCTCTATATGGGTTGGGACCTTTAAAGTAGAAGAAGGCCAAAATATTCTACCAATCTGTATCACTATGTGCCTGTCCAAAGTCAGGAGCCTGTAATTCATTTTTTGTTGTTGGTTTCTGTATAGCATATTTGTTTTCCTTTATTGTTTTGTACAGAAATCATTCCGTATAATATATTCTTGTTTAGTTAATAAAATTAATAAAATTGTTTTACACTTGTCATGTCCAGGCATTTTTATTCATTGTAGCTTGTGGTATCCTCAAAAATGGATATAATCCCATTTATGATTGAAAACTAAGATATGATTTGAAACTATGCAAGAAACTCTTCCAGTCTTTCAAACATTTTGGTCACATCAACATAAAACTCATAAGGCCTTGCAAAAAGGATTGTTGGTTTCCCTTAACCCTGCCTAGTCTACTATAACATTTTTATACACCCGTTTACGGGACATATTATGGCATACAGTGTCCGTCTGTCCGTCCATCCGCCTGTCCGTCGTCAACATGTCGGAAATTAACTCAAAAACACTTTAACCAATTTGCATAAAACTTTGGTGAATTGTTTATATCTATTGACGTGAGCTCCCTTTCGTTTTTTTATAAATTTTAGATTTTACGTTTCCGAGTTATGGGGTTTAATTCATTAAAAAAAGGGGGATTTTCCAGTTTTCGGACAATAACTTAAGAATGCTTTCACCAACTTGCGAGAAATTGTGGTGAATTGTTTATATCTATTGACATGAGCTCCCTTTTGATTTTTATATAGTTTAGATTTTACGTTTCCGAGTTACAGGGTTTTTTTTCATAAAAAAAGGGGGATTTCCAGTTTTCCAACAAAAAATCAAAAATGCTTTCAGCAGTTCTTATGAAACTTTAGTGAATTGTTTATATCTATTGATGTAAGCTCCGTTTAGAATTTTATAAATTTTACATTTTACATTTCTGAGTTATGGGGTTTAATTCATTAAAAAAGGGGGGATTTTCCAGTTTTCGGACAATAACTCAAAAATGCTGTCAGCAATTCTCATGAAACTTTGGTGTGAATTGTTTATAGCTATTGATGTAAGCTCCCTTTACATTTTCATAAATTTCTAATATGACATTGAGAATTAATTGAACTTTAATTGTTTATAGCTATATAGTCTGACAACAGATTTACTAAGTATTGCGCAACAGCACAGTGTATTGCACAACAGCAAGAAATCTTTAATTGAATATAAATTCAATTCATATAACCAATTTCAAGTTCTTTGACTACATTTAGTCAGAAGCCTATAATATGTCAAATATTTAATACAATCCAAATTCAGACCTGAATCAAGCTTGAATATTGTGTCCATTTTTGCCCCAACTGTTCAGGGTTGGACCTCTGCGGACGTATTCAGCTGCGCTCAGCTAAGCAGTTTATTAATCCTGCAGCTCAATTCTTTTTTCTTAAACAGATGGAGAAAAAAAAAGAGTCTTCATACAATTATCAATGATGCTTTAATTGTCTGATAATTTCTTTAAAAATGTTTCATTTATCATTCTTAAAGTTTAAAATAGCTATACCACAATATAGATCACATGTTAAACTCTTTATTTTCAAGAATTTCCTGTCAGTGGTTTAAGAAAAATATCTCTATAGAACGAAACTATATATATATGCCTCATCTGATTTTTCGCAAAAAAAATAATACATAAAAGTTTTTCCTACCTGCCGACCCTTTAAAATTTTCTTGTGTTAGGGGAAACCAACATTCAATTTCATTAGCCTTACACGTGGTTACATTATTATGATGTGAACTTTTAGAATAATTGGACAAATTAGGGTTTTGACCATGTTGACCCAGATTTGTCAATTTCACTGAACATGGAAAAAAAAGTTTTAGGTTAAGGTAGTTTACCTGAAGTTGTGAACATACCGTAACATACCGTATCAACTTAAAACTTATTAAAAATATGTCCATTTAAATGTGAACTTGCTGTTTGCTGTGAACCAAGGCTCTGTGTTGAAGGCCATACTTTCATATTTTATACATTGTGACTTGGATGGAGAGTTGTCTCATTGGCACTCATACCACATCTTCTTATTTATATTTTAACTGTTAAACATTTCTGCAAAACTAAGGTTTTAACCTAGATTTCATG